TTCAGTTCCAGCAGGTCCCTGTTCTCAAAGCCAACTTGAAGGAGAGGGAAAGTCTTGCTCCCCCCATAAAAGCAGTTCAGTGGCCTCCAACAATGTCAAAGGGCAGCAGGCCAGTTGTCTCTTGGAGGGGGGCAGAGAAGACAGGGGGTGCTCACAAGTGCATGCAGACAAAGCGCAAAGGGGAGCCAGGGGGGTTTCACTGATGGGGAAGTGGAGGCAGCTCTGACTCAGCAGTGGGGGGTCTAGGCAGGGCCAAGGAGGGGGTGCCGCCATTGCTGTCATGGAGTTTGCGGACATGCTTCTTGAGGTCAAAGTTCCTGCAGAAGCCTTTGCCACAGGTGGGGCAGGTGAAGGGCTTCTTGTCGTTATGGGTATGCATGTGGAAGGTCAGGTTATACACTTGGTGGAAGGCCTTGTTGCAGATATTGCACTTGAATTGCTTCTCCCCACTGTGGGTCAGCTTGTGGTTCTTGTAGTTCCCTAAAGGGTGGCCAAAAAGAGGGTGGGGAGGAAGAGAAAGGCGGTCAGTGATGCTCAGTAATGGACAGTCCACCAGCCTCCACCCACAACACATAGTCCTCCACCCACTCAGGCTGGATGCACGCTGCCACATAATCCAGGTTATCAAAACAAATAATCACATCTGATTTGAGCTGGATTAAATGAGTCTACACTGCTATATAATCCAGTTCAAAGCAGATAAATTGCATTTTATATGGCAGTGAAGATCCAACCTTAGTCAACAACACCGCCCCCCCTCCCAATTATAGGTCATAGGTCACACTCTCAAACACAACAAACCTCCAATAGCTCCCTCGCAGGTCTCTTCTACACTGCCAGTTCACTGTTTTGAACTGGGTTATGTGGCAGTGTAGACTCATATAATCCAGCTTTTTTTGTTGTGTCAGGAGTGACTTGAGAAACTGCAAGTCACTTCAGGTGTGAGAGAATTGGCCATCTTTGTTGCCCAGGGGATGTCTGGATGTTTTGATGTTTTATCACCCTTGGAAGTCTTCTCTCATGTCCCCACATGGAGAGCTGGAGCTGATAGAGGGAGCTCATCGGGCTCTCCCCAGATTTGAACCTGCAACACAGTCCTGCCTGCACAGCAGTTTAACCCACTGTGCCACAGGGCTCCATATAATCCAGCTCAAAGAAGATAATGCGGATAATGATAATAATAATAATACACTTTATTTATGTTCCTCTCTATCTCCCTGAGGAGATTCAGAGTGGACTACTGTATACACATGTATAGGCAATGCCATTTATACAGTAAACAACAATAACATGCAATGCACAAAGGAAAATGTTTCCCTTTGATAATCAGGATTATATGGCAGTGTAGAAGGGGTTACAGTCTACCAGCCCCCCACCAGTCTATAGCACCCATACAGTCCATTGGCCCAGTCCATTAGCTCTCATTATTATTATTATTATTATTATTATTACCACTATTATATTTATTTATATTATTACCACTATTATATTTATTTATATTTTGCTTTATCTCTCTCGAAGGAGACTAAATTAGCTTAACATAAAAGCATCAGCATACAACTTAAACTATTACAAATATGCAAACATTAAAACAGGATTAAATAGAAACATTATTAGAAATTGTCAGTTAAAACCATTAAAACATATCCAAAGTTCAAATACATATAGTCCAATACCCCACACAGTCCACCAGCCCACATAGTCAACTGTCTACCATACAGCCCATTGCCTCCACACAGTCCATACAGTCTATAACTCCCCCATACGATCCACCACATGGTCCACCAGGAGGGTGTTCCTCCAGGGGTAAACCAAGAATGGGCAACTTGGAAGTCCCTGAACAGAATCAGAGGTGGAGTGGGCAGATCAAAAGACAACCTGGCAAAATGGAACTACCTAGATGAATCCTCCACCTTGTGTGACTGTGGAGCAGAACAAACAACTCCATGATGCTTGTCCATAATGCCTTACCTCAATCACTGAGGAAGAATTGTTTAAAGCTACAGACAATGCCCAAAAATTATTTAGGGTTTGTGCTCCCTTGTGCTCCTAGTATTTTTATCAGTTTTATACTTATGTATGCAATGCTTTTGACACAAAATAAAGAAATAGTCCACCTTTCCCCATAACAGCCTTTCTCAACCAGGGGGTCGGAAGGTTGCCAAAGACCATCAGAAGGGTCTGTCAGAGGGGTCACCAAATATCATCAGAAAACAGTATTTTCTGTTGGTCATGGGGGTTCTGTATGGGAAGTTTGGCCCAATTTTATCATTGTGGGGTTCAGAATATTCTTTGATTGGAGGTGAACTATAAATCCCAGCAACTACTACTCCCAAATGTCAAGGTCTATTTCCCCCAAACTCCACCAGCGTTTATATTTGAGCATATTGAGTATCCATGCCAAGTTTGGTTCAGATTCATCGTTTGAGTTCAAGATGCTCTCTGGATGTTAGGTGAACTACAACTCCAAAACTCAAAGTCAATGCCCATAAAACCCTTCTAGTTTTTTGTTTTTTGTTTTTTTGGCCATGAGAGTTCTATGTCCCAAGTTTGGTTCAATTCCATAGATGGTGGGGTTCAGAATGCTCTTTGAATATAGGTAAACTATAAATCCTAGCAACTACAACTCCCAAATTTTAAGGTCTATTTTCCCCAACTCCACCAGTGTTTACATTTGGGCATATATAGTATCCATGCCAAGTTTGGTCCAGATCCATCATTGTTTTAGTCCAAGGTGCTCTGTGGATGTTAGTTGAACTACAACTCCAAAACTCAAGGTCAATGCCCACCGAACCCTTCCAGTATTTCTGTTGGTTATGGGAGTTCTGTGTGCCAAGTTTGGTTCAATTCCATCGTTGGTGGGGTTCAGAATGCTCTTTGATTGTAGGTGAACTATAAATCCCAGCAACTACAACTCCCAAATGACAAAATCAATCCTCCCCCCCAACCCCACCAGCATTCAAATTTGGGTGTATTTGTGTCTAATTTGGTCCAGTGAATGAAAATACATCCTGCACATCAGATATTTACATGAGAATTCATAAGAGTTGAATGAAGTAGCAACGAAAATAATTTTATAGTTGGAGGATCACCACAACATAAGGAACTGTATTAAGGGGTCGCGCATTAGGAAGGTTGAGAAACACTGCCCCAGAGCTCCCTACATCCCACCTCCTTATTCTCCCCACAAAGTCCTTTAGGTCTCTCACAATCCTCCAGCCCACCCACAAGACACACATACAATTAAGGGCTTTTTCAAGAGCAACACACGCACAAGGCTCTCTCCTTTTGGCCCTAGGAAACCCCTTTGGGCCTCAGAGGAAGGCAGTGGCAACAAGTACACAATCAGAAAGCCCCGCCATTGAGTTGTCACAAATGAGAAACGATTGGAAGGCGCGCAACAACAAATCGACCACCTTCCGGATCGATCCCACCGGGAAGAACTGGGATGAACCCCATCTTGCACCAGGTTTTCCCCACAACGCACACAGCCCTCCACCAACTCAGGCTGGATCATGAAAGAAGGCGGATTCACATCACGCCGTTTAAAAAACGATTGACATCCCCAGCGGGTGCTCTCTCTGGTACCCATCAGGGAACAAATTCGGATTAACCTCGCTCTACAATTATGGTATTTGGAAAAACACGAGTTCCATCCACTAGTCGCAAACTATTCCAGTGGGAGGCATGAATTAGCATCATATTTGGTTGTATGGGTGTTTGGGGATGGATTCAACTAGGCAGAATTTGGACTGAGATTATTGAACCACATTTGGTTAAAGGTAAAGGTTTTCCCCTGACATTAAAGTCCAGTCGTGTCCGACTTTGAGGGTTGATGCTCATCTTCATTTCCAAGCCGAAGAGCCGGCATTGTCCATAGATACCTCCCAGGTCATGTGACCGGCATGACCGCATGTAGCGCCGTTATCTTCCCGCCGGATGATCTACACACATTTGCATGTTTTGACTCTAACTACTGGTGGATGGTGCTCATCTCCATTACTAAGCCGAAGAGCCGGCATTGTTCATAGACACCCCCAAGGTCATGTGGCCGGCATGACTGCACGGAGAGCCGTTATCTCTCCCCCCCCCCTCCCCCAGCGATGCCTATTGATCTACTCACATTTACATGTTTTCACTAGGGTGTGGTGGTCACCTCCCTTTCTAAGCCGAAGAGCCAGAGCCGGCGTTGTCCTTAGACACCTCCAAGGTCATGTGGTCGGCATGACTGCATGGAGCGCCGTTACCTTCTCGCCGGAGCGGTACCTATTGATCTACTTATCACATTTGCATATTTTCAAACTGCTAGGTTGGCAGAAGCTGGGGCTAACAGCGGGAGCTCACCCTGCTCCCCGGATTCGAACCTGCGACCTTTCGGTCAGCAAGTTGAGCAGCTCATCGGGTTAACCCATTGCGGCACTGGCACTGGTGTTATCTAAACATCCCCACCAATGAATTATCTTCAAATGCTACTTAGACGATTTGAGAAGTAGGAACAAAACAAAAAAAGGAGGGAAATCTAAGCAAAAACTTGCCTGGAACCAGCAAGTATGAAGGCAGAAGTATGAGCCTTGGCTCCAAACAAATACGATAGCGGGCTGACATTAACATCTGAGGAATATTAAATCCATTCCATGAAGCTAAAGGCGAATTAATCTTGGTGCGACCCAAGGCAAATACTCAATCTAAGTCTGAGTTCAGTGGCGCCCACTCCCAGATAAATCCGGCAGCACAAAACTCCTCACACGGGAGAATAAATCAACTTGAAATCCGTTTTCTGCCTCCTGCAGAATTCTGGGGTTTGTAGTTCAGGGAATAGCCTTTACCAGCCTCACTAAACTACAATCCCCAGAATTCTGCAGGAGGCAGAAAACGGATTTGAATTGGATTCATCCTCTAGTGTATCTTCCAACTATAAAGGAGAATTACGGGAAAATATTGGGCCTGTTTACTCACTTTGTTCATTCAGAAACAAATCCCACTACATCCAAGAGGACTTGTTCCTAAATAGATGCGATCTGAATCGGATCTACACTGCGATATAATGCATAATATGGTCAGCGGGGACCTATATAACTGCATTATCTGAGTCTTTATATGACTGTATATTCAGCCTCTACCCATCCTACGAGGCATGACTGACTTCCCAGTAAAGCTTGACCCGTTATTATATATTATTATTAAAAATTCCCAGTTAAAAACCATTAAAACCTATCCAAAGTGCAAATACATACAGTCCAACGCCTCTCACAGTCTACCAGCCCCATAACCAACAGCCTACCATATAGTCCATTGCCTCCACACACCATTTGAGATCCCCTCGAATTCCCCAGCCACTATTTTCCCCCAATGTAAACAGTGATTCAAAGAAGAAATAAAAGGCTCTGAAAATAATCTCAGGCAATACAAGAAAGTCTTGTTTGGGGCTTTAAGAAATAGACATACGCATTCATCATACTAGAGAAAAAAGTTCCCTTAAAATCCGGTTTCTGCCTCCTGCAGAATTCTGGTGTTTGTAGTTTAGTTGGGCTGTTAAAGGCTCCTCCCCAAACTACAAACACCAAAATTCTGCAGGAGGCAGAAACCGGATTTTAAGTGGATTTTTTTCTCCAGTGTGATAAGGCCCATACAGGCAGTCCTTAAATTACGAACAAGATAGGTTCTGTAGGTTTGTTCTTAAGTTGAATCTGTACGTAAGTCGGAACAGGCACATTTTGAAAGTGCTAAAATATTTATTTTTTAGCTTTGGATAGCAAAATAAAGGGTTTACATCCCTTCCATGTTTATTTTGTTGTCTGTCTCCCTGTTCAGATTTCGCCTCACTTTGTGTCCCTGTGATGATTGGATTGTTGTGGAAACAAGGATTGGTTTTTTTGTGTGTGTGTCAGGATTGTTGAGAAACTGCAAGTCGCTTCTGGTGTGAAAGAATAGGCCGTCTGCAAGGACGTTGCCCAGGGGACGCCAGGGTGTTTTACCATCCTGTGGGAGCAGGCATGTAGCGGGGGGGGGGGGGGTTGGGGGGCTTCAGCCCCTCCCCGAAATTTCATGGTGGTTCGCAAAAAAGGCTAATGGTGAATATAAACGATCTCTTACATCATTATTTACCGCACCAATAATCCAACACGAATTTTGTTAGTTCTACCTATACAAAATGTTTTAGGGATCCTCTCACTCTACTTATCCCCCCCCAACTAAATTTTACTGTTTTTTTTATTTTTTATTACTGGTGCATTATTTAAACTGTTATGTTTATTCATATCATGATCTGATCATCATACCCAATATATCCCATACGCATGGGGGTACTGGGATAACGATACAAAAGGTTTGCTAGGGTAGACCCTCTTTCACTCAGACTCAGCCCCCCCCCCCCCAATCGAAATCCTGGCTACGGGCCTGTGTGGGAGGTTTCTCTCATGTCCTGGCAAGAAGAGCTGGAGCTGACAGAGTGGAGCTCACCCGTTCCCCACCAACCGGCACAAGGGTTTAACCCATTGCTTACCAGGACACCTTTTCTTTATGATAATGCCTTTCCCTGAGTGTGACCTCCTTTGAAGGCTTAACACTTTGCAAACTCGCCAAAGAACTCAGGCCGCGTCTGTTTACGCTGCTGTAGCGTCGGGCAAACGTACCTTTTTGGTGGAAGCCCTTCCCGCAAAACTCGCAGACGAAAGGCTTGTATCCGGCGTGGATCCTCGTGTGGGTGTTCAAGGTGGAGCTCCGGTTGAAGGCTTTCCCGCACTGGCTGCACTTGTGGGGCTTCTCCTGTTTCGGAAACCGGTGGGAAAAGGGGAGGGAAAGAATTTGAAAAAGGAGATGAGCTTCCAGCTTGCTTTCCAGCTTCCTAGGGACGGGAAGCTCGGATTGAGTCCCTAGCCCAGCGCAAACCCTTTGAGCAGAGAAAAAAGGGAGAAAAAGCCAGGCAACTTAACCTATGTAATTCAAAAGTAAGCTCAAAGGAAGGCGGGAAAGGGCCTTTTCGGTGGCTGATCCCAGGCTTTGGAAGTGGAACTCCTTCCCAAGAGAGACCAGGAAGGCCCCTTCCCTGCTTGCCTTCCCAAAACAAATTAAGGCATTTCTTTGCCACCAGGATGAAGGACACACTGCTGGGGAGTTTGGGTTATAGCTTTCAAATGAACATTTAATTGTATTTTCACTTTGCAGCCAAGGCACAGATATGCAATTGCTTCTTAACTGTCTTTAATTTTCGCATTTCTCATGGGTTGTGTCATATTCTTGCCAGCCACCTTGAGTCCCCAGGGGAGAAAGGCAGGATAGAAACAAAGATAATAATAATAATAATAATAATAATAATAATAATAATAATAATAATAATAAGTATGATAAATATAATAATAAATATTAATAAATTATTGATAAATATCATAATGAGAAAGATGATACTAATGGTACATATAATAAATATAATGTTAATAACAATATTTTATAATAGTAATAATGAATATAATAACAAATATAATTAACAAATATTTATAAATTAATAAATATATTATTAATAATAATAAATATGAGAAATATGATCCTAACGGTATATATAACAATAAATATAATGTTGATAATAATATTTTATTATAGTAATAATAAATATGGTGTATATATAATTAATGAATATTAACAAATCAATAAATACCTTGTTAATAATAAATATAATAATGAGGAATATGATACTACCGGTACATATAATAAATATAATAATGAGAAATATGATACTAATGATACATATAATAATAAATATAATGTTATAATAATATTTTATAATAGTAATAATAAAGATTATAATTAATAAATATTAACAAATTAATAAATATATTATTAATAATAAATATAATGAGAAATATGATCCTAACGGTACATACAATAGATATAATAATGTGAAATATGATACTAATAATACATATAAGAAATATAATGTTAATGACAATACTAATATTTTATTACAGTAATGATAAATGTAATAATAAATATAAATAAATTAATAAATATATTATTAATAATGAGAAATATAATAATGAGAAATATCAACTAACGACACATATAATAATAAATAAAATGTTAATAATAATACTAGTATTTTATTATAGTAATAATACATGTAATAATAATAATAATAATAATAACAAGCCCAATCAGTCCCATCCCCCGAATTGGGACCCTTATAGGATCCTTGCCCGGTGGAGTGAGTCCTAACCAATGTTGTTATCCCTTTTGGAGGAAAGCAATGGAGCAGTTTTGGTGGCATCAAAGGAGAGAAGGATGGGCTGGCCACTAACCACTATGGGAGCCTTTTGGGAAGTTATTTACAGAGAGAGAGAGTTATGTTTCCAAAGAGATCCAGACGCATTGGAAAGAGCCGTCGGGCCGCGGCTCAAGTGATGATGATCAAGAGTATCGGAGTGAAACGGGCTTTGAAAATCAATCTCTCTCTTGGGTTGCTGTGAGTTTTCCGGGCTCTTTTTCTTTCTATTCAACACTCCGAGAGAAAGAAAGAGGGAGGGGGGCGTCGCTTTGGGAGTCCCCTTCCCACCAGACTTTGGAAAAGTTCCCCTTTTTGACGCCACCATTTCCCAAATCGTTCCCGAAGTGTCTTTTCTTCTCCCAAACCTCGGGAAGAGTTGCCTCCAACTTGCCGGGAGAAAGAGGGAGGAGAGTGGGCTCGGATGCGGGGTGTGTGGCGGGCGGAGGGACAGGGCTGGCCTACCTGGGTGTGGATGATCTTGTGCCGGCAGAGAGTGCTGGCCTGGCGGAAGCCCTTCCCGCAGACCTTGCAGACGAAGGGCCGGGCGCCCGTGTGGACGGGCATATGGCGCGTCAGGTTGTAATGCGCGTTGAAGACCTGCAAGGGGAAGGAAAGGAAGACAGGCCCCACGGGCAAGGTTAGTTAGGCCCCATCCGCACTGACCCCTCCTTACATACAGTCCCAAGCTAGCTTCAGACGGGCAACAAAGCGTGCCAAAGAAAGCCCTGGATGCATTCGCCAGAGCCTTGCGTTTCATCGGTTCTGTTTTCATTCTGTTGTATCATCATCATCATCATCATCATCATCATCATCATCATCATCACTATTAGAGTCTTGAACTGGATTTCCAATGGAATCATCTGCCCTTTTTTCAAGTGCAGATGATTGGAAATCCAATTCAAAACTCAGCAAATAACAATGATAATAATAATTATAACAACAGTATGTAACACATTTTTTGTTCTTGGCCCAGTTTTTTTCCAATTAATATCGCAACCAATTCGACATAGTTTGTGGCAGTCACAAAAAGGAAGTTTCTGGAGTCTAATAACTACTTTCAGAAGAAGTCCGGCACAATTAAACAGGAAATAATAATAACAATAATACTTACTATTATTATAGTAAGTACCGCAAAATCGAACAGGAAATAATAATAATAATAATAATAATGATAATAATATATTATTGTAAGTACCGCATAATAATAATAATAACAATGTATTTTTGTTATTGTAAGTACCGCACAATTAAACAAGAAATAATAATAATATATTCTTGTAAGTGCCTCATAATAATGTATTATTTATTCCTGTATAATAATAATAATGTATTATTTATTATTGTAAGTACCACACAATTAAACAGGAAATAATAATAATGTATTATTTTAAGTACCGCATTATTATTATTATTATTATTATTATTATTATTATTATTTATGGTAAGTACCGCACAATTCAACAAGAAATAATAATTTATTATTGTAAGTACTGCACAGTTCAACAGAAAATAATAATAACAAGATATTATATTGATTTAATATTGTTGTTGTTGTGTATTGTAAGTACGGCACAATTAAACAGGAAATAATAATAATTAATTATTATTTATTATTATAAGTATCGTACAGTTGAACAGGAAAGAACATTTTCAAAACCAGGAACAGAATATTTGTCAATTTATATAGTGTAATAATGATGGTGATGGTGATGGTGATAGTGAAGAAGAAGAAGAAGAAGAAGAAGAAGAAGAAGAAGAAGAAGAAGAAGAAGAAGATCCATTTACTAAATGGTCAGTGTAGTTGGGGCCTCAGGGATGCGGGGATCCACAGAAGAGCCGCGATCACAGAAAAGACAAGGGTTCTAAAGTCCCATCTACACCGCCCTATGTTTCAGGATGCAAGTTAACTGCTTTAGAACCGCATTGTATGACAGGGTGAGATAACACTATGCGATGTATGGAATGGGATTTTTGTCCGTGGGTTAGAAATGTTATTTCCTAATTGGTTCTATCATCAAAACAGGGAGCAAGGTTGACACCCTGCAGCACATGATTTTGCTCAAGTTTTTCAATGAATATCTCATAAAGCCTCTCAACCAATTCCACATAGTTTGTGGGGTATAACAACTATTTTCAAAGTAAAGGCTGTGCTTTCAACAACACTTTCAAGCCAGGATCAGATTTTTCAAAAAAATTGTTACATAGTGTAATGATAATGATGATGGTAACAATAATACATATATTAAAGTCAGTGTAACTGGAGCCTAAAGGATCCAGGAATTACCTACACTGCCCTATGTTTCAGGATGCAGGTTAACTGCTTAGAACCGCATTGTACGACAGAGTGGGCTCAGGGCCCTTCCACACAGTCATATAACCGGGAATATGGGATAAACCCCTGTGACAGCAGGTCAACCGAGAGCTGGTTGAGCTCCTTCTGTCAGCTCCAGCTCCTCGTGCAGGGACATGAGAGAAGCCTCTACACCAATTCTCTCACACCAGTCGCTCCTGACACAAGAAAACAAAAAAATTGAGAATATCAAGGCAGATAATCCACAATATCTGCTTTGAACTGGGTTATCTGAGTACACACTGCCATATAATCCAGTTCAATATGGATTTTATACAGCTGTGTAGAAGGGGTCGTAGGCAGTCCAATTCAATGCGGTCAAAATGCACGGGGATCCAGGATGAGGCCCCATTTACACTGCCATGATAATATTGCTCGGACATGGTCAGGGTAGACTCATAGAGCACATTATATGAACTGGGTTAGGAGTCCACACTGAGCATATAATGCAGTGGAGGGGGTCTCAAGGCCCTTCCACACAGTCATATAACCCAGACTATCAAAGCAGATAACAATTGGGTTCCCTGAGGCCCCTTCCACACAGCTGTATAAAATCCCACATTATCTGCTTTGAACTACATGGCAGTGTGGACTCAGATAACCCACTACAAAGCAAACACTCAGGATTAAGGTAAAAGTAAAAATTTCCCCTGACATTAAGTCTAGTCATGTCGGGGGTAGGGTTGGGAGGGTAGGGGCCTTCCACACAGCCCTATACCCCAGAATATCAGGGCAGAAAAACCCACATTATCTGAGTGTGGACTCAGATAACCCCGTTCAAAGCAGATAATGTGAGAATATCAAGGCAGATCAGGGGATTAAAGTGCTGAGCTGCTGAACTTGCAAATTGGCAGTTTGAATGCGGGGAGCGAGGTGAGCTCCCACTGTTAGCCCCAGCTCCTGCCAACCGAGCACTTCGAAAACATGCAAATGTGAATAGATCAATAGGTACTGCCCCGGCAAGAAAGTTACAGTGCTCCAACATGACCTTGGAGGTGTCTACTGAAATGGAGATGAGCACCAGCCCTCAAACAAAACCTTATGTGACTGTGGAGCAGAACAAACAACTCCGCATCTGTATGCTTGTCCACTATGCCCTACTTCATGTACAGAGGAAGAATTGTTGGAGGCTACAGACAATGCCATTGCTGTTGCCCGTTTTTGGTCAAAAAATATTTAGCTGCCTGCGCTCCTTCTATTTTTTATCAATTTCATACTAATTTATACAATGCTTTTGATACGAAATAAATAACCACCCCTCAGGCAGCCCTATATCCCATAATATCAAGGCAGAAAATCCCACCGTATCTGACTGTGGACTCAGCTAACTCAGTTCAAAGCAGATAATGTGGGATTTCCTGCCACATAACCCTAACCACCCCCCAGAGTCCGAGGGCCCTTCCACACAGCCCTAAATCTCAGAATATCAAGGCAGAAAATCCCACATTGTCTGCTTGGAACTGGGTTATCTGAGTCCACACTCAGATAATGTGGGATTTCCTGCCTTGATATTCTGGGATAGAGGGCTGTGTGGATGGGCCCTCGGTCTTTGTGGGGTGGCCCTCATCTCCATTTCGGTAAAGACCTCCATGGTCATTTTGGAATACTATTACCTTCTTGCCAGGCCAGTACCTATTGATCTACTCACATTTGCATGCTAGGTTGGCAGGAACTGGGGCTAACAGCGGGAGCTCACCCCAATCCCCGGATTCAAACTGCCAACTTGCAAGTTCAGTTTAGCACCATAACCCCTTGCGCTACAAGATGATATGCTTTGATATTCTGGGTTAAATGGCCGTGTGGAAGGGTCCTGAGTCCACACTGCCATAGACTCCAGTTCAGTGTGGATTGTGTGGAAGGGGCCTCAGCCAGCCCACCGCTCGCCCCGCTTCCAAAGGAGACCAGCTCCAGGCCATGGCAAGAGAGAGTCTTGGGGCCTCGGACGGGGCGGGCAGGGCACTTGCCTTGCCGCAGACCTCGCAGGTGAAGGCCTTGGGCTTGGCTCCGGGCGAGGCGCGGCTGAACTCGGCGGCCACGGCGGCCACGGCGGCGCCCTTGAAGGGCAACTTCTCGGCGGCCAAGAGGTGCGCGGCGGCGGCAGCGGCGGCGGCGGCGCTGTGGAAGTGAGCATGCGCCAACTCCTTGAAGCCCGGCGGCGCGGCGGGGCCCGGCGGCGGGCTCTGCAGCGCTTGGAGCTTGTTCCTCTCGGCCAGGGAAGCCTTGTGGCTCTGTAAGGACGAGCCCAGGAAGTAGGATGCCACCGGGTGGAGGCTGAGGCCCGACGGAGGAGGCGGAGGAGGAGGAGGAGGCGGCGGCGGCGGCGGAGGAGGAGGAGGGGGAATCTCGGCGGCCCGTCCGAAGTATCCCAAGGCGCCCAAGGCGTGGAAAGAGGAGTGGGTGACGACGCGCGGGCGGACCAGCTTGAAGTGCGGAGGCAGCTCGGTTTTGGAGGACGGGGGCGGCTCTCCGTGGGGCTTGTAAGCCAAGGGCACGAAGGGGATCATGCAAGGGAGGGAGGCGCCCAAGCTGAGCCCCGACGGAGGCGCCTTCTCGCCCGCTTTGGGCACGAAAGGAGGCAAGAGCGGGCGCGCTTTGGGCTCCGGAGCCGTGCGGGCCATGATCCGCTCGATGGAGAAAGCCAGCGCTTTCGAAGTGGAGGACGAAGAAGAGGAGGAGGATGCGGCGCCTAGAAGGCTCTTTCCCGTCGGAAGCGTCCGGCTGCTGCTGCTGCTGCTCTCCATGGCTGCCTGTCCGCCTTCAGGAGGAGGAAGCCCCCCTGGCCGCCTCCGAGGCTCCCTTCAGCCGGACCGAAGAGGCCGCCATTGCCGTCTCTTGGCCTCTCCCCGCGGAATCGGGCCGCCCCATCGCCTCGGGCGGGGGAGGCAGAGGCACCTCTCTTCTCCCTCCTCTCGCTCGCTTTCTCTCAATGGAAAGTGTTGGGTCAATAGCCGCCGCCACGATCCCGCCAATCGTTAACTTCCAAGAGGAGAAGGTAAACTAGATAATTGCTCAGTTCGCTTCCGACGGGCGCTTGGGAAGCAACGGGAGGGGCGGGGGGGCGAGCCTCCTACTCTTCCTGGCTTCTGATTGGCCGCTCGGCGGGAGGGAAGGAGGGAGGGAGGGGCTCCCCCTCCTTCCCTCTTCCTCACTCTTTCTCTCTCCCCTCTGCTTTTTCCTGGAAGCTCGTCGAGATCAATGTTCGCCTGGAAGTGACGCCTGTCTGTCGCCCCCTTTTTTTCTCCGTCGAGGAGAACGGGCGTTCCTGCTCCTTTCTTTGCAAAGAGGCCAAGCCCAGGCAAAGGAGCAGAGCCAAAAAAGGGGGACACACGCACACGCCTGATCGCCCCTTCCAGCCCGGAAGGAGCCCAGAGCGGAAGTGGGGCTCGCGCGCTTGGCCTGCTTGCCTTCTGCCCCCCGTCCCTCCCATTGCAAATCTGGCCCTACTCCACACAAACAAATGGCACATTGGCCTCTTTCGCAAGCCTTGATGATGAGTAAATGTTGGGTTTGGAAACCTGTTTTCTATCTGGGGTTACACGTGAGGCCTGTCTCGACAATCCGCGACAAACGAAAGCCTCCAGCCCATGTTTCCCACCTTGCTAGCACTTTCCTCTCCTCCCTTCCCCTTTTGAATGGGGTCCAGATGGTGAAAGCAAGAGCGGAGGGAGGGAAGGCCAACCTTTAGTACCGAATCAGACCCATACAAGTCAGCCCCATAGGTCGAAACGGGACATAGACTTTCAACAGGGCTTCAGAGACCCGTTTCGTTCTCGTTTCCCTCTTTCTCTCTCAAAAATGTCTTTGCTTTCTCTTTGGGCGCCCTTCTTTCTCCTGTCCAGTTGGTGCCCTGACTGCTGTCCATGGAATGAGGGCAGTTCGAGTCAGGGTGTGATCCTCAGGGCTGGAGCCTTCCCTGTCCGAGAGGGCTAGTGTCCATGCAAACCACCAAGCCCGGGATTCCGCTGCCTTGAGCAGTTCACGTGGTGTCCCAAGACCGCATTGATTTTGCAGTGTAGACGCACCTTTTTGTGAGCATCCCTGCCTGGGTGCTTTCCTGTGTCTGCGCCAATATCTCCTTCCTCTTTCTTTTTAAAAGCAGGGGGTTTCTTGTCTGTGCCTGCAGTTTACAAACGGCAGCAACCAAATTAGTGTTTTAACTCTACTGATTGCTCACTTCCTCCTCCTCCTCCTCCTCCTCCTCCTCCTCCTCCTCTTCTTCTTCTTCTTCGTCCTTTTCCTCCTCCTCTTCCTCCTCCTCTTATTCTTCCCTTTCTTCCTCCTCTTTTTTCTCCTCTCCCTCTCCTCCTCTTCCTTTTCGTTTTCTCCTTCTATTCTTCTTCTTTCTCTTTTTCGCCCTTTTCTCCTTTTCCTCCTCCTCTTCTTCCTCTCCTTTTCCTCCTCCTCATCCTCTTCTTCCTCTCCTCCTCCTTTTCCATTTCCTCCTCCTATTCTTCCTCTTCTTCGTCCTTTTCTCCTTTTTCTCCTCTTCTTACTCTTCCCCTCTTCCTTTTCCTTTTCCTCCATCTTTTCTTCCTCTTCCCCTTCTCCTCCACTTCTTCCTCCTCTCCTCATCCTCATCCTTCTCCTTTTCTTTTTCCTCAATCTCTTCTTCCTCCTCCCCTTCCTCTCCTTTTCCTCCTCCTCTTCTTCCTCTTCCTCTCCTCCTCTTTTTCTTCTCCTTTTCCTCCTTTTCTTTTTTCTCCTCCTATTCCTCCTCTTCTTCTTTCTCTTTTTCGTCTTTTTCTCTTTTTCCTCCTCCTCTTCTCCTCCTCTCCTCCTCGTCCTCTTCCTCTTCTTCTTATACTCCTTTTCCTCTTCTTCTTCTTCTTATTCCTCTTCTTTTCTTCTTCTACCTTTTCCTCTTTTCCTCCTCCTCCTCCTCTTCTTCTTACTCTTCTCCTTTTCCTTTTGCTTCTCCTTTTCCTCCACCTCTTCTTTGTCCTCCCCTTCCTCTCCTTTTCCTCCTTCCTCTCAGTTGGGCGGAAAACATTGCCGCTTTCCCGCTATGAGGGAATTATAGGGCTATTATAAAGCCATTTCGGGGCAAATTTCTGGGGAAGCGGATCGACTTTCGGAAGTGATATGAATGAAAGGAACATCTCTTTCCTCGCCCTCGAACAAACACGTCGGGGAAGGCGCCTCCAGCCTTCCCGTGACCCCTTCTTTTCCCCGCGCGTCCACACCACCGAAAGAACGCAGTTTGGTCCCACTTCCCCACTTCCCCATGCCATGGAATGCTGGGGCTTCCTCTCTTGCTCGCTCTTTGATCCGGAAGGCGAGAGAGCGCGTGCTAGGACGACTCCCGGGATTGCAGACCACTTAGCAGGCAAAGCCATATCGAACCGCATTCCTTCGACAGTGTAGATGCGCCGATATTCGGCAAATACTCCCTTTTTCCGATGGAAAGAGAGGCTTAGCTCTGTGACAGCTCTGTCTCTACGAATTGGGAAAATCTTAGGGTCTCTGGTTGGGGACTGTTTTTGTTGTTATGTGGTAGTCCGAAACTCGAAAAACACACTTCGAGGCTTGCGTAAGAGAGGAAAACGAAACAACGACAACAACAACAACTTGGGGGCTGAGGCAGTTAGGAATTGTGGGAGTTGAAGTCCAAAACACCTGGAGGCCAAGTTTGCCCATGCCTGTGATAGAGCCCCCTTCTCATCGTCATGAGTTTAGGGGGATGTGGTTTAGGGGCTGGAAGAAGGGGGTGCGTCTTACCCCACTTGAACTGTTCAGGGCTCAGTGCTAGGGAATTCTGGGAGTTGTAGTCTGGAGACCCACCATTGAGAGGGAAACCAACCCAAATACATAGGGAATGGAGGCCCCTTCTACCCTACAATATTATCCGCTTGGAACTGGATTATATGGCAGTGTGGACTCATATAATCCAGTTCAAAGCAGATCACGTGGGATATGGACTGTAGATCCAGCCTGAGTCTCCTCTGGGAGAGAAAAAGCCAGATATAAGCACATATACTGATGATGATAATTATAATTACAGTAAAAAATATAATAAAATATAGTGAAATACAATATAGTTTTTTTTCATGTCAGGAGCGACTTGGGAAATTGCAAGTTGTTTCTGGTGTGAGAGAATTGGCCGTCTGCAAGGACGTTGTCCAAGGGACGCCCGGATGTTTTATCATCCTGTGGGAGCCTTCTCTCATGTCTCCGCATGGGAAGCTGGAGTTGACAGATGGGAGCTCACCCTTTCTCCGGATTCGAACCACCGACCTGCCAGCACAAGGGTTTAATGATTAAACTTTAATCCATTGCGCCACCAGGGACAATAATATAGTAGTAGTAGTAGTAGTAGTAGTAATAATAATAATAATAATAAAAGACACTTTCATGACAACCTTATTTGGATGCTGATTTAAAGCATTTTATTTACTTTTATGCACTTTCTTGCTCTGGTTTTTAGGGTGTTCATGTGTTTGTCTAGACAACTATGTTTGTTTAATTATTCTATTTTCTGGTTTAGTAATCATTACTTTATAATAATGTTATTTGGTTCTGTTTGACTTGTGTATCTGTTTTTTAAACCAAGGCATTGAATGTTTGCCATTCTTTTTGTCTGGAAGCCACCCTGAGAACCTATCTATCTATCTATCTATCTATCTATCTATCTATCTATCTATCTATCTATCTATCTATCTATCTATTAAATATATATATGGTAATTACTATATACTGTGTTCTATCCCATTTCCACATCTTTGTAATTATGCTTTATACCCAGTCTCATGTCGCATCTGCACTGTCCTTATATCCCAGGATCTGGGATATAAGGACAGGTTATCTGCATTGAACCGGATTATATGAGCCTACACTGCCAGATAATCTTGGATAAAGAGGGAATCTGGGATCATATCCTGGGATATAGGGCAGTGTCGTTCCAGCCTCAATGCACTTGTTGTGAGTAATGTATATTATATCCACAAAAGCTGGTGCAAAGATACAAAAGCATTGGTTGTAAAGGTGATGCTACATTATTTCTTCCTCCTCCTCCTCCTCCTCCTCTTCTTGTTCGTCTTCATCTTCTTCTTCTTCCCCCTCCTCTTCTTCCTCCTCCTCTTCTTCTTCTTCCCCCTCCTCTTCTTCCTCCTCCTCCTCCTCTTCCTCCTCCTCTTCTTCCTCCTCTTCCTCCTCCTCCTCTTATTCCTCTTCCTCCTCCTCCTCTTCTTCCTCTTCTTCCTCCTCCTCTTCTTCTTCTTCTTCCTCCTCCTCCTCTTCTTTTTCTCCTCCTCCTCCTCCTCCTCTTCTTCTTCCTCCTCCTCTTCCTCCTCCTCCTCCTCTTCTTCTTCCTCTTCTCCTCCTCTTCTTCTTCTTCCTCCTCCTCTTCTTCCTCCTCCCCCTCTTCTACCTCCTCCTCCTCTTCTTCTTCTTCCTCCTCCTCCTCTTCCCCTCCCCCATATTTCCCCTTTCTTTGGGCCAGATTGTCTTCGGTTTTGTTCATTTTTGGAAGGAGATCTTTGCTGCCAGGGTGGCTTGAGGTATGATGTCTTGTCAATTGCAGTTTGATCTGTCTTGTCAGGCCACACAAACGATGGGATGGTCCGCATTTGAAGATTGCGAGGCAACCCTTTTAATGGGAGAAAGAGATCAAATGTCTTGTGAGACTTAGACTTGAGATCAAACTTGCTCGAAAGCAAAAAAAAATCGCATTGTCAATATTGCACCATTTGTCTGTTCCTAGTTTGAAAGTGTCATTTCCTGTCTAATTGTGCAGTTCTTCCTTTGAGAGCAGTTGTTCTACTCCAGAAACTTCGCTTTTTTTGTGGCTGTGTTTGAATTGGTTGAGACTAGAAGAGATATTCATGGAAAAACTAGAGCAAAATGTGTTGCAGGATGTTGTCCCTCCAAAACAAAGTTTGGGCAGTCCAATAAACATTTCCAATGAATTAAAAGAATTGATAAGAATCTTTCTATCAGCTTTCTTTATTCCACAGCCTCCCTGGGAGTTATAGTTTAGTGAGGCAGCAACATTATCTGGCAGAGAAGGCTCAAACTGCTGTGAAT